TATATACCAGGATTGACAATGCATTTAAAATGTGTACATTTCTTGGACACTACCTGTATCTCGAAAACTATTCATAGTATCGGGTTGCGCCTAGGCAGGGCCGTAGCCAAGGGGGGACATTGGGGGGCAATGCCCTATCTTTCAAATGATGATGCCCTACCTTTAAAATATAACATACGTTGAGGTTTATCTAGAAAATTTAAGAAAAGATGAAAGCAGTGTTTCAACCGACAGGATAACCGTTCTAGAACGGTAATTTTCAGTCGATTAATTCATTTGCCAAGGAGGATTGACTTATTGAAAATTAGGTGGGCAATTGGAAATTGCTAGTTCTGGAACGGTTCCTATGTCCATTGGACCACAGCTAATGAATGGACCTGAAATCAAATGAGTTTGTAGGCATACAGTTATTTTACAAGTAGTACAAGTACAAGAAGTCCTTCAAAAATTATTGCTTGCACGCGCCATTTTGTTTATTCGCCAGAAATGTTATTTGATGTTGTTTATTGAAAAATTTGCCTTCGGTGCCATTACCCCCATTCTGTTTACCTATAAAAAATTTAAGGGGCGGAGGGAAGTAGTGCATGCCCTATGTCAAATTTTTCATGTCCTACCACAAATTTGACTCTAGCTACGGCCCTGCGCCTAGGAGAACTTTTTATCAGAAATTCAAGATATACCACATATTGAATTTGACAGAAAACCAAAAACCCATACAAGGTGTGAGGTGGTTATTGGTTAAAAGGGTTACCAGAACATAATTACTACCTTCCAGTTATTTCTAGAACAGCAATTTACTCATTATCTTATAAGAACCACAAATAATTTCTATTCATGTTGCACAATCACAAACTATAACTTCTTCAGGAGTGGATTGCTGTTTCAGGGAATTTAAAAACGAATAGATTGCTGTCTTAAAGATTTCAAAAACGAGAAGATGGCTGCGGAGTTCCAGTAAGTTTTGAGGCAGTAAATTACTCGTTATCCAGGTTACCAAAACATTATAATTTGAGAGAAACTTCTTTGGTAATGAACTCTCAAGACCCAGTGATGAGAAAAATTTGAAATTGAATGAAAAACAGGTAGAAGACAGTTTGGCCTCTGATACCTTCATAGTTTAATCTCAAGGGTTCAGTCCAACCCTACAACTTACTCCGATTTCCATGACGCAATTTTTACACTTTTTCTGTGAACAAGAAATCCAAGTTACGATTTATAAGTTTTTGGAGATTTTTTGGTTTTATGATTCATAGGAAATTATGTTTTTATACAGGGTGAATATCAATATTTAAGGAGGCAAACTTCATATGAAAGTACTTATGTTCTAAACGTCTTAATTTTTGAGATACAGGGATGCAGTGGCGTATGTATGGAATGTATACTGCCTATCTTGGCAGACATTGATAGTACGCCACTGATTGATTTTGAAATGAAAATTATTTTTGAAATCCCCAATAATTTCTAAACAAAATTGATCGGATTGTGAAAAATCAAGAGATCAACTTTGCTTAGAAATGATTGGGGATTTCAAAAGTAGTTTTTATTTTAAGATCAAACAGTGGCGTACCATCTATGTTTGCCAAAATAGACACGTCTCCTTAAATATTGGCATTCAATTAGAAAATACCATGTATTTGTGTTTAGCTACTCGAGTAGATAGTTTCTAGTTATCGAGCGACACAACATGTCAGGTCTATTCTCACAAGAAATCTCTGCAACCTGTCAGAAACAATCGCTCAACTAAGTTGACGATTTATTTTGTAACGACGGTATTGAAAACATGTATGGGTGATGCTTACTGACAGTTTGCAAACTATTGTGAGAACAAACCTCAGATATCAGTTGTGAGGCAACATTCAAGCTGTTTGTGCGATAGTGTTATTAGTAGGAAACGCGCCAAGGTGGAACAACTCCATGTCGATATTGCTGTTAAAAGCCCTTGTCACACGCAACAGCGACACAATGTTGCTACTTTAGTGGAACAAGGCCCTTAAACCTCTTCAATAGTGTAAAACTTTAATAATTAATAAATAAAATAATCTGTATAAGATGAAATTTTTCTTTTAAATAAAGCATCAATACATCAAGCAAAACAATACCCAAACAAATCTAACTATAAGTTTTCTTTTTTTAGTAAACCAGGAGACGAAGCTGAAATAATAATAATCAAAAGCGACAATAATAAAGAAGACAACAAGTTTTATCTTTTCGAAACCGACAAAGGTTTACAAGTATACTGCGCAATTTCCTCCGACGTAGTCGAACACGATCTGGCCAAAATCGACCAAACCAAACCGAGAAATCGCAAACCGTTTCTATGCCCCATCTGCGGTAAACTGGTCAGCAACGTGTCCAAACATCGCCACCGCGAAGAATTCCATTGCCAAATCTGCCCAGCGATGTTTCACACCCAAACCCTATTGCAACAACACCAAAACCTCCATCTTATAGACCACTACGAGTGCAAACAATGCCCATTAATATTCAAAACCTTAATCGAACTGGCCTTGCACAACTATAGCCACACTAAAACATACACTTGTCCAAAATGCGAAACCACATTCAAAGCAAAATCCACTTTGCAAAACCACGTGGCCGAAGAGGAAAACGATTTCAACTTCACCTGCGAAATATGCGGAAAAGGTTTTGCGGTGAGGCATTTTTTTGAAGCTCACCGTGACAGGCACGATACCTCAAACACCTACAAATGTATTATTTGCAATAAACAATTCAACTTGCTGCGCTATTTGAAAGACCACGAAAAATTGAACCATCAAAAAGAATTGTTTGGGAATGATAAATTGTTTCAATGCGAAACGTGCTCAAAGGAGTTTAAATTTGAACGTTCGATGAAGCGCCACATGATGTTGATGCATGGAGTTGGCGAAAAGAAAATCGTTCTGTGTGGTGTCTGTGGAAGACAGTTTAACAGCCACTACATAAAACTGCACATGCAAATACACTATGGCGAAAAGAAGTTCGAGTGTAAGATTTGTAACTTGAAATTTTTGAGGAATTATTATCTTAAGAGGCATAATCTTAGGAAACATTCAATAGCTAAGTAGCCAAATTTTGATTATTATTAGTGGTCTAATTATAATAATTTGAACTATTACCGGCTCTTGATTTGTTGAAAAGCTTCTTTGAAAACAATCGAGAACTTATAAGTAGCAACATTTTTAATTTTTTTAATACTATACAGGGTGATTCAAATAGGGTAGTGGATCTTTATAACAAAATAATGAAATCTCTCAAAAAGTGGGATTACCTTGAGGGTGCGCCTAGATGTAATGATGTCCGACAGACACTTATATACAGGTGCGCCCGCAAAAAAATATGTAGGGGGGGGTCAAAATCAATTGAATAAATTTTTTATGCGTAAAAAAGGGCACTTCAGTCTAAATTATCATTTTAGAAGCAGAATCAGAATTTTAAATGCAACATTTGCAATGCAAAACTTGAAGAAAAATTTAAATTAGGAAAATTTAAACAAAAAGGTAGTTTGAAAAGTCACATATCAACAGACTTCGATAGTTATCTTTTTGAATGTGACATTTGCAAAGCAAAATTCAAAGGAAAAGACTGTTTAAAGAGACATAAACTAACACAGTCTGATATTTATCCTTTTAAATGTGACACATGCAATGCAAAATTTGAACACAAACGTAGTTTGAGAAGCCACATATTAACACACTCGGATGAGGAGAATTTCAAATGTAACATTTGCAATGCAAAATTGAAAAGAGAAGGCGATTTGAAGGAACACATATTGATACACTTCGGTATTTAATTTTTTTGGATGGGACATTTGCGAATCAGAATTGCGGTTTGAAGATACACTAACTAACACATTTGGGTATCTATCCATTTGAATGTGACACTTGCAAGGCAAAATTTGTAGAAAAGTAATTCACAAAGGCACATTTCAACACACTCGGATATTTATCCTTTTGAATGTGACACTTGCAAATCAAAATTTAAATGGAAAGCCGATTTAAAGACTCACAGGGGTCGAGTGACTCCCCCTGACCCTCCCTCTGGGCGCCCTTGCTGATATATCTTTTTTTTTTTGCACTAATGAGTTAGTTTGTGTCGGATATTGGACGTAGGTTTGATCTGATTCATACTCAAATACAGCAGCTATGACGTAGAATCATCCCAAAATTCTACTTTTACAACCGTTTTAAACAAAGTTAATAATTTTATCTGAAATGAAGAATAGATCATCGATTTCATTGAAATTATACCTTGTCCACTACCCTATTTCGATTCTGATTGGTCAGAAAAATAAGTAAGATACAGTGTGAAATTTGTAAAGGCATACCTAACATGGGATTTTTGGGCTCTATGGATTCTGCCAGTGTGGTGCCGGCCTTAGCCTATGTTGACATTTGTTAGTGACGTGAAATATGTCTACCTGTCAAAATTTTGACTGATAAACACCAGTTTTTCGTATACTCTCCATACAAAAAGTTGTTAAAAAAATTCATCTTTCAACGCTCATATCTCAAAAACCTAGGTATTACGATTTCGTCCCATTTAAAGGTTGTTCAGAATTAAATCCTCTACAACATATTAAAAAATGGGCAAAATCCATAGAGCCCAAAAATCCCATGTTAGGTGTGCGTTATCCATTTGTATTTTTAAAGAATTAATACACAGCTTTGTTCCAATCGATATGAAAACCAGTAATATCCAATTGCCCACCTATTTTTCAATAACTTTAACGTTTATTTTACTTGATAAATGAATTGATCAACTGGAAATTACGGTTCTTATGTCGGTTGGAACAGAGCTATTTAATTTAGAAATTATCCAAATGCTTTTTCCAATAAAATATTTGATTAGACATTGTTTTTTTTTTTTCTAGTTATAGCTAAAATATTGATTATTAGCGGGCTAGTAATCAAGAGCTGGTAATAGTCAATAATTGATTTATTTTTAGACAACTCACTAAACCCAAAAAAGCAATCATACGCATTGTTGGGCGCAGAGCAAAAATGACATTAAAATCAAAGAAAATTGCCCCAAAAAAACGCAAGAAGGCACTGGATGAGGAAGAAAAAGACACAAAACTCAAAAAAATCAGAAAAATTAGAAAATCAACCAAAATACTAGACAAATTGTCGTTGGACCTACAAAAAAGCGACGAAGACTCCGATTGGTTTAAACAAGACGAAGACAACACCAAACCCAGAAAAATCAAAAACGACAAATCAGGCTTGTGTCCACAATGCGGCACATTCGTATCCAATCTACCCTTACACATCAAAGACCAACATTCCAATACATTCTCATGCAACTTGTGCTACATGAACTTCAAAAACCAAAAACATTTGGACGAACATAAAGAAGTACACGAATCCAAAAGTCACCACAGGTGCGACATTTGCAATTTAATCCTAAAAAACGTCACCAAATTAGCTTTGCACAAATTCGTGCACACCAAAAGTTACGATTGTCCAATATGCGGTTTTACAGCTACAAGCAAATTCAGAAACTCCATAATAGCTCACATCAAACGGCACGAAGACAACTATGCAGTAAGGTGCGAACTTTGCCACAAGGGCTTTTTGTGCAAAAAGAAACTTGAAGAGCACATTGAATGGCACGAAAACGTGCCAAAATACGAGTGCGAAATTTGTCACAAAAGATTCCCTGTTAAATCCTACTTAACTTTGCACAACAAATTTAATCACAAAAAAGAACTCTACGGCACTGAGGAAATATTCCAATGCGAAATATGCGGCAGAAACTTCACTTTCGAGAAAAGCTTCAAAAGACATCTGAGTTGCATTCACAAAGTTGGCAAAGACTTTACCGTAAAGTGTCCAGTGTGCGACAAAGTTATCGCAAATAATCACAATTTGAAAAAGCACATGAAAGTGCACACTGGGGAAAAGAATTTCAGTTGCGATGTTTGCGGAAAAACTTTTTCGCAACGGCAGTACGTTACTAGACACCAGAAAGTGCACCAACCTAAAAAGAATTAGTAATAATTTGGATCTGTTAGCCAGACTACTAGACACATAGGCTTCAATTGGACCAGTTGATTGCAACTTTGCTTAAAATGTGTCTAGTAGGTTGGTCCGGTATGTTTAAAAGGCAATATAACTATAGTACTTATATAGATTTTTATTATTTTATAAAAAGATTAATTAGCCATTAATTTTACTGATTTTTTATATACAAGGTGTTACAAATTCGCGAGTAAATATAGGATCTCGGTATTTATTAAGAGATTAAATTAGGGTAAAGCTACGCATTTTCTTGTTCACCAAAATGCTGTTTCGAAATTAATTTCTACATTACTTTGATGTGAACGCACCTAAAGCTAGCCAATGCAATTCCTATAATTGATTTGATTGGTCATAAAATAACTATATTAAGTCAATTGAAATGACTGGGTTTACACCTGCATCTTTTGATGAAAATCAAACAATAAAATCTCATTTTTCACTGATAAGGAAGTCCAAAGACGAAACGTCGGATTTCAAATTTGATAATGTCATATTATGTATATGTATATGTCTTCAAATAAGATCAGGAAAAAATAAAATCTCTTTTGTAAAATTTCGTTTTTTCCCAAAGAAGTATTTGATATTTTCCAAATTTCGAAACGGTATTATCAAGTTATATGGCGTTAATACCTAAACCAATATTAAAAAATCAGATTTGCAATTTCCAAAGTGATGTCTAAGCGGTGGCGTACCCAAAAAACCATAAAATTTTCGACTTTTTTCAGTTTTTGCTCAATGTCTCGGTGAAGGAAAAGTCTGACTCTACAGGGTGTATCAGGTATGAGTACAAATATTTTAACATGAGATAATATGGCCCATTTCAAGCTAAAAGTGTCCTATTGACCATGGGTCAATTGTTAGTGTTTTTGGAGTTATCGCAGAATTTAAATTTAGAAAAAATGTCAACAACGTGACAACATTGTACAGGTAATTATCTCTGCCATGATATAAATGTAAATAAAACTGGTAAATTTGAAACTTTTTTTTTTGCACGGCGTTTATTTATTTCCATCTGTTTACGTTTTGGTTTGTTATTGGCTTTCAAATAATGTAATGTAAACAATTTGCATTTTTATCACTTTTCTAGTAAAAATAAAAAATGTGCCATTTTATTAAGTTGTGCGAATTGCATTGAATGACATTTTTGCAGTAAACATTCAACAGTCAAATCCTTATTATAAAAATATTAAATTTTGTTAAAAAGTTCTCAAAACACTAAAATCAACTCGCAGATTTTGCACACTCACAACTCACACTTCTTGTATCACGCAATCTTTGTAACACGGGCACCATGTTCTTCCATCAGGTGAGTGCTTTTCTTTTGGAAAATCTTTCCCTAATTTCACTGTGAATTCTGGTAGCTAAATGAGCATTTTGCAACGATTCTGCCTAAACAAGTATCTGGATATTCGATGTTTCTAAACATTTTATTTTCAAAAAAGAATGAATTTGAATTACGCGCGTTTCCCAACTAGAAAAGACAAATCAAGAATCAATTTATTCAGCTCCACCAAGGTTCAACCTTCAACCACCTATTCTTTATTGTGCTGTGTTTAGATACCCTTTTGCAAGTGAAATTTGTATGTTGTTTTTCCAATTTTTTGTTATTGTTGTTGACTTAAAATGCAGAATTACTTGATAATTGGATAAATTAAATTTTTCTACATCTCATAATGATTAAAATTTTCTTTAACTTTAAAAATTTCAAAACTTCGAAGGCCTTTTTCTTAAAAATGGTTGAGTTTGGACCTCGTGTTGTATAAATTTTTTTTGTTCAAAATGGGCCATATTTTCATGTGTTAAAATTTTTGTAGTCAAACTTGATACACCCTGTAAATCCTAAAGTAAACTTGAAGATTGTAAATTGAGGGGGAGTTGTTAAAGCTTTTCAGCCACTCAGCACTGCTACCTTTGCAGATATTTTGTACGTAACTCTACATCTTAAGTTGTCTTCAGGAAGCGTAGACTTCTACCGAAGAAAGCTATTTTCCTGGGTGTCAGTTGGCCGACTACTTCTGGTGACAGTGTTACCCCCTCGAGAAATTTAAACCTCTTGCAGAATTGGGCTGGACATTCGCAGAGTAGATGCTTTGCGGTCTCTATTGCGTCTGAGCAGAATCTGCAGAGCTCGTTTCCTGCTCTGCTTATTAACCTTAAATGGTATTTTAGCAGGCAGTTTCCTGTGAGCATTCCTACCACTAATCTGATGTCTGGTCTGCTCTTTTTGCTGAAAGAGTGATAAACCTTTTTAATTATCTGAGTCCCTGAGGATGCTTTCAATATGATGATAGTTGGTCTTTCTCCCATTTATTGAGTTCTTCCATGATGTGGCTTTTTATTAAAAGATAATAGAGAGAATCGTCTCCTTTCTGCACTTGATACACAATGTACTATTTCTATTCATGAAAGTTTCATGCTGCCCGGGTATGATTTCCGTTACGATTTTTTTGATGTGTCTACAACTCCTTGGCAAAATACCCCCACCGCCACCTAGCCAGCTGACATCTCTAACGTAACTACACAATGTAGGTACAATCATAGAGTACAATCGAATAAAAATATAAAGAAACTGCCCGAAATTGTTGCAACTTTTGTACACGGACTCCAGGTCTATAGCCACCATCCAAAATGACGTGAGTGGTAACATTTATGATCTATCGGTGTGTGGCTGAAAAGGGAAGTGAAATCGGAGCATAGACGCCGGAACCATGAGGGCAATGGGGTCTTGAACCCTCGTAATGAATTTGCCATGAGGACAGAGCCCCCATAGTGATTTTGGTATTGTATGTAGTGGGTAAGTAAATACAAAAATATTGAATTCCTGCTCTTAACTATTTATTTTTATATCAAACTTGTGTGTTTTATGTTTTTGTTCCCGGCGGTAAATATGCGGACTAATATTTTTATTTCGCTTTATTCCATTACAACTGTGTATTAACCATATCGTTTTTCCCTCCCCCTTCACGGGTTCAGACTGAAACGCACTTTTTACAGTTGCCAGCCTTTACTCTAACAAACATTTTAAATATTTTGTTGTATATTATTTAAACCTGTATTCTCAATAAGTTGTTGAATTATTATTTCCTTTCCATTTGTTTTCATGATAGGTATGTTCACACTACATGAATATATCATGATGTACAGTTTGTCGATTTTAATCTGATACTCCAAAGGAATGTGAGCTCGTGGCTCCCTACATTAGAACGCTAATGAATTGGTCACACCTGTTTTTGCCATAAGCCTCACCCCATTGCTCCTTCTACGGAAAGTATCAGATTAAAAACGACAGACAATACCAATACACTGGCTTTTTTTTACCTAATTTATCATGGACAATTTATACACAGACCGGACAAACCTACTAGACACATAAGAATTAATGAGACGAATTAGCTTATGTAAGGGCATTTATAATTCAAATTAAAATCAAAATTAAAATAAACAGAAAAATCAATTAAAGTCCCTATTGTAAATTCTTATCAAAATTTGTGACAATGGAATTCTGGAATCGCTAGAAATTTTGTATGCACACTCCGAAGAGTAGGAAGACTGACAGTTTCGTGCGAGCGTGTGTACAAAAGTGACATGCAGGTTGTTGTTTGCACGTTGATGTATGCACGTATTTGTATCAAGTCATTCACGTCCGTGTGTAACCGCCTTTTGTCTCGTCTCTGTTTTGGCCCAGAACGCCTATATACTCCCTACTTATACCGGCCAGATCCTTCCTTCACTGAGATATTGAGCAAAAACTGAAAAAAGTCCGAAAATTTCATGGTTTTTTGCTGCCCCTCGCACAAATCTGGTTTTTCAATATTGGCCTAGGTCCAACATATAAAAAATCCAGAACGACCGGACCTTTTGCAAGCACATACATCTTGATTGGCTTACTACATGCTTACTCACGAATTTGTAACACCTTGCATAGCTTTTAAAGCTTTTATTATTATTATTATTATTATTATTATTATTATTATTATTATTATTATAATCTTTGATCTCCAATTTAGATATTTTAAGACTGTATTCTCATTGATTAAATAAATATTTATTAAGAAATACAATGTTATTTTTGTTGTTGTTACCATTTAATTTACAAATTTTTTTCTTTACTAATTATTGTTTTTTTAAAATTTTAGCCCATTATATCTATACATTCCGGAAGGCATGGATGAAAACACCTTCTCAGAAATCATCATCGAAACTGAGGAAGATCCAAAGAAAGACCCAAAACTTACACTGTGCACTATATGCGGCAAACTAGTAAGCAACTACAGCCGTCACCAGAAAAAGCACGTATTCACTTGCAAAGAATGCTTCAGCACATTTCGCAACGACAAACTACTTCAAGCCCACCAGGAATTGCACGATCGCGAAAACCGATTCGATTGCGATTTGTGTCCGTTTAAATTCAAATCAGCTGTGAAGTTGGCTTATCACAGATACAAGCACACGAAAGTCTATATGTGCCCCATTTGCGGCTTTGTAGGCAAAAGCAAAGCCGCAGGCTCAATCAAATTGCACATTTGGCGGCACGAGGGCAACTTCCAGTTCAGGTGCGAAAAGTGCGGCAAAGGGTTTTTGAATGCCACCAAACTCGAAGATCATTTAAACGTACACAAGGGCGAAAAAAAATACGAGTGCCACATTTGTAACAAGAAGTTTACCGTTAGGAATTATCTCACACTTCACATTAAGCATTTGCACAAAAAGGAAGTTTATGGTATTGAGGAAAGCTACCAGTGCGAAATATGCGGCAAAAACTTTTCGTTTGAAAAAAGCTTCAGAAGACACATGAGCACCATTCACAAAATCGGCAAAGATTTGACTAAAGAGTGTAAGATTTGTAACAGAACAATTGCAAATGCCCACAACTTGAAGAAGCACATGAAGACTCACACAGGCGAGAAGAACTATGAATGTGCAACGTGCGGCAAAATGTTTGCACAAAAGAAGTATGTGCAAAAGCATCAGAGAGTGCATTCGGGGATTAAACGAGAAAAGCCGAAGGGAATTAAGTTGGTGGTCCAGAAATAGGAATTTGTATTTGTTTGTATTTGTGGCTTTTTAGTTGCATTGTAGTTCTCTTATTGTTTAGTTTAGTTAAGACTTTTTTTTGATAACTGTCTAATTTTCCAGGCTCTTGATTCTATTATTAATTAGTTTATTTATATGTAACTATTACTGGCTCTTTTGAGAAGTTTCTCTAACGAATCAAATTTGGACTATTCCGGGCCCTCAATCAAGAGCCGCTAATAATCAAAATTTGAACTATTCTCGGCTCTTTTAGAGAAATTTCCTGACGGATCAAAATCCTGAGAATAGTTCAAATTTTGATAATAATAATAATTAATAATAATAATAATAATAATGTATCTACTCCACAAAATAATATATGAATAAACTATGCCAAGCAGTTCGACTTGAAATATTGTAAGATGTTTACCCAATGCCTTGGAGAGCTTGAAGTTAGAGCCGAAAATGCCCAGTCCATCTCCTTCCATTAGCTTCAATCCATCTGTGTACCACAGAGATGCTTGTAGTAATTCTTTATTCTCCCATGATTGGCGGTTGTTTATTACCTCTACAAATGGGATCTCTAAGTCCATCAATCTGACCATCATGTGGTCACTTGATTTGCTGGCATTCTCCAGTTTTATTATTATATTTATAATTGTTCATTAGCAAATGTTTTGTTTTTCCAAAAAATACACTATAGATCTTGAGATCCTCTGAATTTTACGAACCATGAAAATCATTATGGCGTAATAAAAAAAATCTATAAGCTCTAGATTCTGACTTGTGAATCATTACTTCACACTTTTCCTGATTCTTTGCTGAAAAGACTCTCAAGAATCTTGATTCACTACTTTGCAAACTTTCTGGTTCTTCTAAGACAAAATTTGAAACCTGATAGATTCTTAGAACCTTTGAATCTTGAATTGTTTCTTGGAAAATCTTCTGTTTTCCTGAAAAAGACGATACAAATTTTGAGATTCTAGTTTCTACGAACCATTGATAATCTATGCACTTCTTCTGATTCTTCGCCAAATATCCTGAATCTTGATTTATTTCTCTGCAAACTTCCTGGTTTTTCTGAGACAAAATTTTGAACATCTTATAAGATTGTCAGATTCTTCTAACCTTTGAATTTTAATTTGTTCTTCCAAAAAAGTTCTGTTTTTCCAAAGAAGCACAACAGGTAAAAATTCCGGATTTCTGTTTCTTACAGCGTTGAATTTTACTTGTTGATGGAGTTGCAGTTGGGCTCAATTCTTCGAAGGAAACATGCGATTGTGAGCCACTAGAGTCACTTAAAATTGAAAATGCTTGCACAGCAGTTGAAGTATTTGCGTTAGATTCAACTCATCTATTATCACTGCAGGCATGTGGTGACTAGATCGCAAAAATGTGAATTTTGCATGTTGGAAAAGCCATATTCCTGGAGTATTGAACCCAAATTGTGCTTTATCCATAGTGGGAATGTAACTATATGCTTTATGGAAGACTTCTGTCACATCGTAGGGTGTGATTATTTCTAAATGTAGAAAATAGTTGTCACACTGTCGGTTAAAAGCTGCTTTAAGTGAACCATAGAAGCTTAAATTTAAAGGCTGCAGACAATGTGATGTATGTGGTGGAATGGTGAGTAATTTAATACAATTCTGCTTACAAAGTTCATTAATGTCCAGAAAAATATAGCTCGAATGGTTATCCAGAATTATTTTTGGAAGGTTTAACAATTTCTTTGAAATACTGAAGCCACTGATAAAATAATTGTTCATTTCGGCCCGAGGAAAAATAAATTTCGAGGGCACATACAGGGCCGCAACTAGGCAAGGCAAGTCAAGTCCAAATTTTGACGCCCCTCCACAGCTTTTTCTTTGGAAATATTAGCAGAAATTTTTCAAATTTTTATGTACGGTACACGTAAACAAAAACATTGCACTGGCTCTCCACCAGTGTTGCCAGATCTCACGATTATTCGTGAGATTACATGATTTTGGTCAGAATATCACGATCTCACGAATGAGTTAGCAAATCTCACGAATTCTCTCTGTAGTAATACAAATCAGTAATCAAATATAATGTAATCGGAAATAATCGAAATAAAAATCTACTATACAATATTTAGTTATGTTACGCCGCTCCTGGTACATGCGCGCTCAAGAACACTTTACCTAATAGCAGGGCATATAAAAAACAATCAGCAGGCTAACTTGAGCTTTGTATCCCAAAATGGCGGCGTGCGCAGATGAGATGGGAGTTAAATCTCATTGTTTTGCCATGTAAATATAGGCTGTATCCTCGAATGGCGGCGTGCGCAGGAGAGATGCGCGTAAGAGTTAACTTACTATTTGTTTTTGTATATCCTGTGCTAATTGGACTGCTCATTGAACCGAAAGTGTCTGCGAAGTCCACGAGACCTCACTATTTGTGACGTCAGCTGCAGACCTCAACTCTTGGCAGAAAATGCATTATCCGAGTCCAAAAAAACGAATTCATAAACGTTGAAATCGCCTTTTCCTAATTTAAAACTCCCAATAAAATTAACTCACAAGCACAGCCTGAATCGCAAGCAATTCATCACATCTATCAGCTATAGTAGTGACGTCACTCGCAGACCAGCTGCCGACTCGAAAATTGGCGAACGTACGCTTTTTTAGGATAAGCAATCTTGCGGATAATGAAAACGAGGTTCAGCTCTCAGAAAGTCCTGCTAAAAAGCGGAAAAAACAAGAATACAAGATTTAATAATAAAATTTCAATATTTTATGGATGTAAAATCATGTCTACTCTATCAAAAATCTATAGAAGAACATTGTGCATTATTTTCTTACAAGCAATTTTAGGTCTCACGATTTCTCACGATATTTCTTTATCGATTCTCACGAATTTTTTTTTATTTCATCTGGCAACACTGCTCTCCAGAAGCCTTCCTAGCTCGTGCCAAAAAATGCGCACTGAGTGCATACATAATTGCACTGGATTTCGAATGGAAAATCAATTGCGAACCGATTCTGGTTGATCCGCGAATCCAGAACCGTAACTAAAAAATTTGTAATTTTGTGATCCACGAATGCCACCATTACTTGAACTGCGCATGCGAAATAGTTTATTTGCTATTGTAAAAGTAAAAGCTGTTTACGGAAACTATGATCGGGTTAACCCAATCGTCAGCAAACTTATTTTGTCTTTTTTCAATCGTATTCGTCAAAGAAAGAAAGAAAACATTCAACAACAAAAGAGATAATGCATGCAGCATGCAGAGGGCGCCCAACGTCGTCCACAATGCTCTTGCTCAGTTTGGTCGGATCAAAGCTTGATTCGAAGCTAATCTCTGGCTAACGAATGTTGGGCACTACGTCATCAATACTTGAATTTATCACAGACATTGCAATTTGCTGCTACCTCTTGCACGCGCACTGTGTTTGACAGAATTAATATGATTACTATTCTTAACCGCTTTCGGGTGCCCCTAGAACACTTCACACCTTGTCAGTGACCTGTCATACTCCATGCATTTGGCAATCGAACGCTTGAAACCGAACGGGTACAACTGTAGCCGGAATACTTCGGAGTAACTCGGGAGCGCTGAAAGGGTGACACCCGAATAAAGCCGGAGTCTCATGCATCCGATTTCCGACGAAAGATGTCCGAAAAACCACCTTTTATTTTGACATATTTTTATACGATTATGTCAGAATAGAATTTTCGGATATCTTTCGTCGGAAAACGGATGCATGAGACTCCGGCCTAAGAGAGATATAACACAAGCAAAATAAATTTCCATGCTACGACAAATGACGCGTAAAATTGTTGTATTTTTTTTGGATTGTGAAATATAGATGGATTAAATTAGGCGCCTAGTTTGCCACACCCTAGTTGCGGCCCTGGGCACGTATGATGTACCAACAGTATTGAAACACCAAATTACGGTTAACGTTTTCCTCCTTTCACCAGAAGTTTTTGCTCCAAATTCTTTCACTCTCTTGGGACCAAGAAGTTTAGAAAGCTGATGCACTATAGAAATGCTGGTTTGGTTTCATCTACATTAAAAATCTTGCCATCAGTGAATTGATATTTTTCGTAAATTATCTTAAGATTCAGAAAGAATTTAGTAATCTGTTGTTCGTTGAATGCAGATATTCGGTTTATGCTTGTTGGTTTTGGTTTTCTCAGAGATATTTAGTTGTTCTTTTTTGTTGATTGCCTTTAGTAGATTTTTTCTAACGAATCAAGAGCCGGTAATAATCAAAATTTGAACTATTCCCGGCACTTGACCCGTTAGGAAATTTCTCCAAAAGGCAATCAAGCGCCGGGAATAGTTCAAATTTTGATTCGTATTGATTCGTTAAAAAACTTTGTTAGAGGCAATCAACAGCCAGTAATTATCAAAATTTCAACTATTCCCAGGATCTTGTTTCGTTAGCAAACTTCTCTGAAGAATATCAAGAGCTGGGAATAATTAAAATTTGAATTATTCCCAGGCTCTTGACTTGTTAGGAAATTTCTCTAAAGGCAAAGGTAACATGTAGTCTAAATTTCGAATGCTTCTTTAGCAATTATTTTTTATAGATAACTTAATGCTGTTGAATAAAATGTATGGTTCAATGTATTGAGTAAATAAAGATTTTTGGAGTGACCAGTTATCGTGTTAATCCAACCCTTTATCCACAACTGAAGGGACACAAGAAGGGCCAAACAAAATACAAGAAGAAGCAAATGTCCCACTCATATTGTAGTTATTTCAATAATAAAACATTTTTTTTTTAGACTCGATGATAACATAAAACAAGAAGACGAATGCCTACAAAAAACAATAATTAAACGTAAAGGCAAATCAAATAAGTGGGCAACGAAAAAAGAGCGCAAATCCCGAGTGAAAAAAGAAAAACCCGACTCGCCCCCTAAACTACCGAAAAACCAAAAAGCCAACATGTGGACGTGCAAGTTTTGCTTCAACACGTTCGCCTCGCGCAAAGAAATGTTCGAGCACCGCAAAGAGCACTCGGGCGAGCAGAAACCGCGCTCGGACGAGCAGCAAAAGTACACGTACGACCTCGAACATGAAATTTACATTTGCAACAATTGCTCGGCCGAGTGCCAGGACCAAGACGAAATCGAAAAACACATCCAAACCCACGAAAACAAATTCACATGCTCTGTGTGTCAAGAAGATTTATACGGGCCTTTAAACTATACGGTGCATGCGCAAAAGCACCGTGATGATAAAATGTTTCCTTGTCCTTGGTGCTCATATATGTCTCAGAAAAAAGAAGCAATGCAAGTGCACATTAATAGGCTGCACTTGCAAATCTACGATTTCCAATGCACAAAATGCGGCAAATGTTTCAACGATGCTTTAAGCTTCAAAGAGCATGATAATGTGCATTTGAATCTAAAACCTTTCAGCTGTGTGGTTTGTAGTAAGGCGTTTTATTATTCCCGATATCTTTTGTCGCATCAATTACGCACTCACACTGTGAGAGTTTTAGATCCAGAATCCAAAACTCAGTGTAATATTTGCCAGAAAATATTTGCAAGACTTGATACGTTGGAGAAACATTACACTGCTAAGCATTTAACAGTGCGTACTGGGCCTTATGAGAAGAAGCATTTGTGTGACGTTTGCGGACAAGGTTTTTCAAGGCCTGATAAGTTAAAAATCCACTACAGAAAACATACAGGCGAAAAACCCTATAGTTGCGTCTATTGCAGCAAAAGCTTTATTAAACGTGATTATTTGATTATGCACGAACGCATTCACTCGGGCGAAAAGCCTTATTCTTGCGAAATTTGCGGCAAATGCTTCAATCAAGGCGCCCCATTGAGGATTCATTTGAGAAGCCACACTGGAGAACGGCCTTATCTTTGTCCTTATTGCGGAGCTGGATCTGTTTCTAGAGGCGCCTTAAACAGTCACATTAAAAGCTGTATTGGGACCCAAACTATACAATAGTTTAGGTTTATTGTGGTTAAGGGTAAACGTTAAGACTTTGATCTGCTAGTTGTATAAAAAATATTCCACATCACTTTTGTATAGCTTAATTTTTCTATAGGTTTGTACATATTAGTTCCATCTATATATATAGAGCAATTTAATATATTATAATTGTTATTATTGTAACAAAGTTGAGTACTTTATTCGTTAATGTCAAGGTTCCTGAAATTAATAAATTGTCGCATCTTATGGAGATTTGCAATATGTTGTTGCAAGTTATCAGGCAATCTACCACTCTTTGGGTCAAGTTTTCATTGTGGCAAACTGGTACCCAGGTTCGTTGAGGTTCCAACAACAAACAATACTATTTTTAGTCAAATGGTGGCACCAATGACATCAGTAGTTCAATATTCACACATTTCCAGATCAAAATTTCCACTTATTGGTTCAAAACTCATTTATTTCCAGGTTAGAGTTAGAGAATTTATCAGTAAGTGGATCACTTATGAGCCTCTAGACCCAAGCATGGCTTCCGCCTGAATCACAATGAATAGTAAAGGTAGGTCTAGTAGTGCTGTTGGTGTCATTTTCATGTAATGCCCAGACAGACAAGCCTTTGCACCCTGCCAAGTCTCATTCTGGCTTTGTCTTGTTGTGTCTTCGTCCACCATATCAAAATTACATAGGTTATTTATTGCTGGCCTTACAACTGTTATGTATAACCAGTTTATCCGGACACAGCCTCCCAGGTTTTTCCGAAAGTTCTCCTGGCTAGTATAAGTACCAGCATCTGACCTTTTAATTACTTTGATTAATTTTGAGTCTATGATTACCTTATGATATTTAACTTCGTCCGACATCGTAACTAAGTTTTCTTGAAGGTAAAGAGGTCCAAGTGCCTCCATTTTCCTTCTTTTGGTAAATGGGACAATTGACTATTTTGTAGTATAACATACCCGGGTTTGTTCAACGTTCATCAAGATTAAACGGTTTGAATTTTTAGGCTGTGGTCCGAATATAACCAAGGTTGTGGTTTTGCGGTTCGAAAGTAATCAAATTACTCTGGCTCCTGGAAAAGTGGTTACTTTTGGACCTTGGTTACCTGAATTCTGGTTAACCAAATGTCAAAATAGTGATCGGCTATCGGATATCGGTTCTGTTGGATTTAGGGCGGGTATTATAAAACTACTTTGACAGTTAACTTAAAGTTAACTTTTTGAATTACATGTAATTCCAGAAGTTAACTTTAAGTTAACTCTCAAAGTAGTTTTATAATACCCGCCCTTATCTGTAAATTCTGTCAATTATTTTTTATTTCATATTCGCGTTTCCCAAGTAATCGGAATTTTCAGTAACCATTTGTCAACCGATTCGGTTACTTTGGTTAACGTTTGGTGACATTCGGACCGTAGCCTTTTAGTACCTCTTCTTTTAACAAATCTTCTAAAAAAAGAAATGTTTGTGGAACGTTACTCAATTTTACTTACTTGACACACGCCCGACAATAGCAATTAGGGAAATTTAAAGGAAGTTGTGATATGTAGAATAGACGAAAAGTTTGAAAAACGTCTAATTTATTATTAGAAAATCGTACCGTTCTCGACCTGGAACTCACGAGGGAAAAGAGGCAGAGAAACCCTTGATCTAACATTTCTCAAAAATCAATAAGTTTATATTAAGTACCGTCCTTTGTCCTTGTGCTAAAATTTTAATTCCACACACCACATTCAATCACTACTACCTATATTCAATAATGAAGAGTTTTTGGTTAGTTAGTCAATTCTACCAGCAGGTACTGAGGTCCCTGGTTGCGGGAGGCTATTCAGCTATATTTGTTATTTGTTACCTTTAGACTAATTTTTCAATTTTTTCACTAGGATATTCACTCGTCAAGGTAGTAAAGTGTTAGTAGATTCAACAAGGCCTAACCAAATCCACTTCAAGTTAGTGTAGAGTCGGTGCAGTTCATACAAAAGCAATGTAGAGTCAGTCAAGTTAATACAAAATTGGTGTAGAGTGTAGAGTCAGTGCAGTTAGTACATAGTCAAAATCAGTGCTGTTAGTACAAAGTACAATTATTGGTTGAACTATTCCCGGTACTTGATTCGTTAATAACTTTTTTAAATCATCTTGATTGTCTTCAAAGAAGTTTTATAACGAATCAAGAGCCAGGAATAGTTCAAATTTTGATTATTACCGGCTTTTGATTGCCTTTAAGGAATTTTTCTAATGAATCAAGAGCAGGCAATAGTTCATCAAGAGCCGGGAATAGTTCAAATTTTGCCTATTACCGGCTCTCGATTGCTTTTAGAGTAGTTTTCTAATGAATCAAGATCCGGGAATAATGCACTCATTACCATTATCAGTTTATCAATCAGTCAAGAACCTCCTTATTGAACTATTGTGTGAATTGCTCGCTCCGCTCGTCCCGCAGAGGTTTGTGACTAATTCACTCATTGATAAACTGTTCAAGAAAAACTCTGACCTGAAACTATGAATATATCATTGGGTGAATGTAAATAACTAAACTTACTAAAACGATAAAATTTGACATTTTTTTTTGTTGAGATTTTGTGTCCTACTAGTCATTTGATATCCCTCGAACTCCATACACTAAGTTATTCCCAGATTTGCAGCCGAAATCTATGAAAAAAGGCACTCAGAAAAATTGAAAAATTGATAAATCACCCCAAATTACTTAACGCGATTTTATCTCAGGAACTATAAGTCCAAATGAGTTGAAATTTTCAGGAATTGTAGTCCACTAGTGGAATAAAAATCACTGAAAATTTCAGCTTTCTATCTGTAATAGAAAAAAAGTTATGACATGTCAAAGTTTTCTAAAATCTAAATCATAAGGTACCTACCTTCTTACTAAAACGATAAAATTTCAAATTTTTTTTTGTTGAGATTTTGTGTCCTAATGGTCACTCAATATCCCCTCAACTCCATACACTAAGTTATTCCCAGATTTGAAGCCGAAATCCATGGAAAAAGGCACTCAGAAAAATTGAAAAATTGATAAATCACCCCAAATTGCTTAACACGATTTTATCTCAGGAACTATAAGTCCAAATGAGTTGAAATTTTCAGGGATTGTAGTCCTCTAGTGGAATAAGAATTGCTGAAAATTTCAGCATTCTATCTATAATAGAAAAAAAGTTATGACATGTCAAAGTTTTCCAAAATCTAAATCATAAGGTACCTACCTTCTTACTAAAACGATAAAATTTCAAATTTTTTTTTGTTGAGATTTTGCGTCCTAATGGTCACTCGATATCCCCTCAACTCCATACACTAAGTTATTCCCAGATTTAAAGCCGAAATCCATAGAAAAAGGCACTCAGAAAAATTGAAAAATTGATAAATCACCCCAAATTGCTTAACACGATTTTATCTCAGGAACTATAAGTCCAAATGAGTTGAAATTTTCAGGAATTGTAGTCCTCTAGAGGAATAAGAAGCACTGAAAATTTCAGCTTTCTATCTATAATAGAAAAAAAGTTATGACATGTCAAAGTTTTCCAAAATCTAAATCATAAGGTACCTACCTTCTTACTAAAACGATAAAATTTCAAATTTTTTTTTGTTGAGATTTTGCGTCCTAATGGTCACTCGATATCCCCTCAACTCCATACACTAAGTTATTCCCAGATTTGAAGCCGAAATCCATGGAAAAAGGCACTCAGAAAAATTGAAAAATTGATAAATCACCCCAAATTGCTTAACACGATTTTATCTCAGGAACTATAAGTCCAAATGAGTTGAAATTTTCAGGGATTATAATCCACTAGAGGAATAAGAATCACTGAAAATTTCAGCATTCTATCTATAATAGAAAAAAAGTTATGACATGTCAAAATTTTCCAAAATCTAAATCATAAGGTACCTACCTTCTTACTAAAACGATAAAATTTCAAATTTTTTTTTGTTGAGATTTTGCGTCCTAATGGTCACTCGATATCCCCTCAACTCCATACACTAAGTTATTCCCAGATTTGAAGCCGAAATCCATGGAAAAAGGCACTCAGAAAAATTGAAAAATTGATAAATCACCCCAAATTGCTTAACACGATTTTATCTCAGGAACTATAAGTCCAAATGAGTTGAAATTTTCAGGGATTGTAGTCCTCTAGTGGAATAAGAATTGCTGAAAATTTCAGCATTCTATCTATAATAGAAAAAAAGTTATGACATGTCAAAGTTTTCCAAAATCTAAATCATAAGGTACCTACCTTCTTACTAAAACGATAAAATTTCAAATTTTTTTTTGTTGAGATTTTGCGTCCTAATGGTCACTCGATATCCCCTCAACTCCATACACTAAGTTATTCCCAGATTTAAAGCCGAAATCCATAGAAAAAGGCACTCAGAAAAATTGAAAAATTGATAAATCACCCCAAATTGCTTAACGCGATTTTATCTCAGGAACTATAAGTCCAAATGAGTTGAAATTTTCAGGGATTGTAGTCCTGTAGTGGAATAAGAATCGCTGAAAATTTCAGCATTCTATCTATAATAGAAAAAAAGTTATGACATGTCAAAGTTTTCCAAAATCTAAATCATAAGGTACCTACCTTCTTACTAAAACGATAAAATTTCAAATTTTTTTTTGTTGAGATTTTGCGTCCTAATGGTCACTCGATATCCCCTCAACTCCATACACTAAGTTATTCCCAGATTTAAAGCCGAAATCCATAGAAAAAGGCACTCAGAAAAATTGAAAAATTGATAAATCACCCCAAATTGCTTAACACGATTTTATCTCAGGAACTATAAGTCCAAATGAGTTGAAATTTTCAGGAATTGTAGTCCTCTAGAGGAATAAGAAGCACTGAAAATTTCAGCTTTCTATCTATAATAGAAAAAAAGTTATGACATGTCAAAGTTTTCCAAAATCTAAATCATAAGGTACCTACCTTCTTACTAAAACGATAAAATTTCAATTTTTTTTTTGTTGAGATTTTGCGTCCTAATGGTCACTCGATATCCCCTCAACTCCATACACTAAGTTATTC